TTTTTTTGGTTTTTCTCTGGTACCGGGAACCGAACTCACGACCTTGCGCTTGCCAGGCAGGGGCTTTGCCGCTGAGCTAAATCCCCAGCCCCCCTTTTTTCAAATTTTCAAGTTGGAGAAAGTGCATTCATAATCACAATAAAAATGAAATTCACCTCCTACTGTACCACACTGTTACAAGTATATAGTGAGAAAGTTTAACAATCTTGTTTTAGGTTACTTGATCCAAAAAAAAAAAAAATTAAAATATTTTTCCCTTAGAAATGATCACCCAGTCAAGTAAATTTCAAAATTTGGTTGATGGTAGATTGGGCACTGAAGTGCAGAACTTAGAGTGTGCTTTTCTAAAGCTGAGGTGAGGTTGCAATGCTGACTGACAGCTGGAGTAGTTTGAGGGCTGCACTGTAAACTTTGGTTTATGGTCACTTGTTCTGGTCCTGGCAGAGAGGTTCACAATAGGAGCACTTAAAGCCTGTTGTGGAACAAATCCATGAAGGAATGTTCACATGAATGACATCATGACCTTCTTCCATCTCAGAGCACTTCCCTCATAAACCCAAGAAATAGTGGCCATGATATGGAAGCTTTCTCAAATTCAACTCAGACTTCCAGCAGATACATCTGCACCACATCTGTTTTCATAATTTTTTCCCATCCTAGTGGAAAAGGTATCCATCTTGAGCTGATGTTAACACATCCAACTGGGTCTTGGACTCCCTCTTTCTGCTTCTTCCGAGGTTTAGATACTCTTGATGAGTATCCTTACCTTAATTTCATTGTTGTCTAAACATCCTCAGATTTTGTTTGTGAAGATTTGTGTCTCCATTTTCAATTGACGGTTTTGAGGGCTATAGAATTCTTAGTTGACAGAATTTCTCTCTTGGCACCTTGAGCATATCCTTCCACTCTTTTTTGGCCCTCAAGATTTCAACTGAAAAAGACACTGAAATTGTATGGAGCATTATCACTTGGATCTGACCTGTCTCTGCAAAAGCTCATGTGTTCAATGGTGGAAGTTGTAGAAAGTGATTGGATCTTAAGTGCTCTAACTTCATTAGTGGAGGGTTCTTTGATGGGCTCGTAATTTGATGGCATGATTGGGAGGTGATGGAAATGAAGGAGATAGAGCCCCGCTGAATATACTGGGTCTTAAGGATGTAACCCTGGGGACTACATTGGATTGTCAGACTCCACTTCTCTGGCTCTCTTTACTGCCTTATCTCCATAAAGTATGCATCTTTGCTTCACCACATATTGACCATGGACTGCGTATTGCTATACAATCAGTTTATTTGCTGGTGGATGGATAGTTTATGGCTCCTTGTTCTGCCATCCTGCTATTGCCACCTGTATTCTCTCATAATACCTGGACTACTTTGTACTTAATGAAGCAGCTCATTTACACTTCATATATAGCATTAACTCATGTACGATTTAAAGGAAAATATAGCATAAAGAATGTGGCTGAAGATAGTTGACATTTAGAGTCTAACTTTTCTAAGTTGTTTTTAAACACATACTTTCATTGTGTGTAATTTCCACCAGTTTCATCCTTTGTGCTGACAACAGAGTTGTAAACGAGGGTTGCTGGGGTGATGAGAAGCCCTTCTGGTGGCTCTGAGCATTTTCTGCAAACTTGTTTAGGTTTCAGTGCTGTACTCCTTGACCTCAGCAGATGGTACCGATAGATGTTTTCAGATGAACCTGAGAATTCCTATACTTTCCGTGGTTCTCAACTCACTTGCAGGCTTAAATATCCAATGTAGGCAGTTCTTCAGGGATGTCATCAGAAAAGCTGTGGAATTTACATACACAAGTTCAGGATATGACAACAACATCATGACTGGTTCCAGGACATTAGCAATTGTTAAATGTCATTGGATGTTAGACTTCTCTAATTTTTGTGAGGACAAAGTATGAAAAGAATTAAATAACACTTTAGGATTGAGGCACTATAGTTTACTTTGTTCTTCTACGAATAAAAATAATCATGATCAATGTTGCCCAGCACTTATTTTATTTCAAAATGATTTTTAACTGGCTTCTCCTAATTATTTATTCTAGGCAGCATCAGAATAACCCCCCAGGATGCCCGTTGGGTTGGTGCTTGGTGGCTTGGTTTCCTTGTGTCTGGACTACTCTCCATTATTTCTTCCATACCATTCTTTTTTCTCCCCAAAAATCCAAATGAACCCCAGAAAAAAAGAAGGAAAGTTTCAACATCTTTGCATGGACTCAAAACAGATCAAGAAAAAAAGCAAACAGCTAATTTGACCAATCATAGTCAAGACATTACTCTGACTGGTAAGAACTTTACATTCATAGACTACATGGAAATGTTAATACTAATGAAAAGAAAGAGTGAGTATTCCAAAATAATAACACATCCAAATAATCTGAAATTTCCTTTCTGTGTGCTAAAAGGCTAAAACACTTATTCCATACAAACCACAATATATATTAGTTGCACAATTATATAATGCAGAACATGAGTGAGAGTTAAATGAGTTATAATATTTCATTATTTCACTTATTGAACAGATGGAATCAGGCACCTACTAGGTCCTAGTAACAGAAAATTGCTTCTATTTTCCAATAATTTACTATTCTTTCCAATAATTTTCTTGATGCTGAGAAGCACAGGTACAGAGACAACTGTAAAATTTTCTTTAATGACTTTGGGGCCAGATTAAATTTAACTACTCTCAGGGATAGACTTAGAGGAAGGAGGAAGTCAAGAAAGTTTTCTCAAAGTGTAGGTAATTAGAGTAAAATTTTTTTTCTTGGTAATTTTCAGAAAAAATATTGTTTGCCAAGATGTTCAAAACTGAATTAGCACAGTAGTAGTTAAAATGCTTGGAGTCATTAATGTGAATCAAGATGTTTCAGTCTTTGCTAGAGCTTTCTCTTTCCAGTGTAAGGCCTATAAAATGACAGAGAACCACTGAGAAGCAATGATCCTCAGTAGCCTAACAAAAACATTTAAATCTTGAGTTGTCAACAGCAGCTCTAAGATTGGGGGAAGTGGATGAAATGTTAATCACCGAAACACCCACTGACTAAACCCTGGGTAACCTTTTCCAGTTGATATTTCATGTCAACACTCAATTACTGATCAAATTTTCCCTCCTACGAGTTTTTCAATTTACCTGCTACATTTCAATGACTGCCCAATTTTGCCCTCCTATCAGTTTTTCAATTTACCCCCTTTATTCTTCTTCTCATGATTTAACCCTTAAATAACGGTGTGTTAGAGACAGTTTGTACTGTCCCACAAAAGAGAATCGTTAATTCTTCAACTATATTAGTATTTCAGAACTGGCCATGGCAGGAGAATTTATCACCATTTATTACTACAAAACCTGGTAAATATTACAAAGCAAGACTTGTTTCCCCAAGCATCATTTGTTACACATTTACCAGCACACTATTGAGTTAACAGTTTTTGAAATTTAACATGTACATTAATAATAGCATATCAAGAGCCAGGGACATAGCTCAGTGATACAGTACCTGCCTGGCAAGCACAAGGTCCTGAGTTCAATTTCTGTTACAAAAAAACCAAAAAATTTTCATTTTTATATATGCAATTTTTCTACATATTAAATCCATAAACATTAGTGGATTGCCTAAATCTGTAAGAATCAGGTTGGACTGTGCCAGAAAAAGAATAGAGAGGAAATTGAAGCTGCAAAAATAAGACAATTATAAACATCAAGTTACCAAAGGTGTTTGTAGGGTAGTGATCTAAAATTAAAGAGGATCTTAATTGTATGCCTATTAGAAATGGATGAAATAATTAAGAGCACAAAATCAGAAGGAAATACACTGAATTTATTTTATATACTCTCCAGGAAAGCTAAGATCAAGTGGTTAGAGAGAAGCAAAGGAAAATTTCAGTTCATTGTAAAAACAGTATGTAAACAACGAGAACTGTCTAAAAGAGAGGAATTGCATAAATCCTTGTCTTAGGGATATATTATGAATTACGATTGCCTGGAAGTTCTAATCTGCCTGAAAAATTTAAAGATGTGATAAATTTCTATTCTTTATTTCTGTTATTCAAATGTCATTACTCATTTAGAATGACTCTCAAATCTTGGGCCTTTTTTTTTTTTTTTTTTTGTCTTTTTGGGACAGGGTCTCACTATGCAGTTCAGGCTGGCCTTGAGCTCACTTTGTAGCCCTGGCTGGTCTCAAACTCTCAACAATCCTCCTGCCTCAGCCTCCTGAGGGCTGGGATTACAGGCATGCACCACCATGCCTGGCTCGCTGTGGAATCTTATGGAGAGAATTTTAGTATTTTGGTCTAATCATCTTAAATGTTTATTTGTGCTATAAATGTCCCCACTTTTCTTCTCTTTTTAGCCCTTGCCCTAATCCTCTTTTCTTCTTATTATATACAGATGAAACTACTTCTCAGTTAATATTAGATGAAAATGTTGGTTTTGTCCATAGATAATTGAAATCTTTTATTTTAAAGAGAATAAAAACAGTAAAAAAAAATTAGAAATGATAGAAAATTTCAAAATACAAGGTGATAGGAATTTAACAGTGATTCTTATAGCTTATATTGTCATCTTCAAAGTAGTTATTCAGGTTACCAGATATAAGCATGTAAAATTGGTCAAAAAATTGAAATCTTTAATGAAATAAAAAGATCTTTCAATGCCTAGCCATCTCTCGAAAACCATATGTGGCTTTGTCTTGCTTAATTCTGATACTTCCTTCTGCTTTTCTGTGTGGTGCCTTCCGACTTTAATTTTCACTACACCTCGTTGAACTGGAAATCTGCCTTAACACATAATATCAGCCATGGACAGGATTTATGAATTTTCTCACATGCCTTTGTAGACACAAATTGTTTACTATTTTCCTGTCATTATATAACTTCAGACACATACTGATGTCCCCTACTTCATCCTCCTACATTTTAAGACAGTTACTTTGTTATGCTGCCAAATTTATTGAGGCAAGAAGCTGTATACCAGATTACAAGACATCTGCAAACTTATACCAGAATGGACTTTAAGATTTTTGGACCTCAGTGTTCTTATTTCTGTGAATTTTGCATTAAAGTTATAATTAATATTTCTACTCAATAATTATTAATATAACAATTATGTGCTGATAATTTTTGTTTGTTTGTTTGTTTTTGGTACCAGGAATTGAACTTATGCCCTTGCGCTTGCCAGGCAGCCACTGTGCCGCTGAGCTAAATCCCCAGCCCCTATGTGCTCATAAGTATAAGACACATTTCATGGTGGATTGATTTGCTCCTCAGATACTTAGCACATTGCCTGGTGCCCAAATGAACACCAAATCTTTGCTGAATGAGCAAATAAATAAATTAACATGTATGGTGCTCATAGTAGAATTCCTAGAATAAACAAATATTATAGGCAGAAAGCACATACAAAACAGTACCATACTGGGTACTTTTCTCTCATTGCTGGGACAAAATGCCCAACAATCAAAACTACAGGAGGAAAGGTTTGCTTAGCTCACAGTTTGTGGAGGTTTCAGTCCATAATCAGCTGGCTCCCAGGCAGGGTGGCATGTCACAGGGGCAACAGTTCAAGGTGACAGCAGACAGCAAAATCAGCAAGAGCAAAATGGGGGGAAACAAGCCTCATTTCCTCCCTTATATTATGTATTGGCTCTCCGCCCACATCCACACCATCTCTGTGCCCTCCTCTTCCACAAGTTGAGGATGTTTACAAAGTAAGACTCCTTGCCTCCTACTGAATAACTTAGTTGTACTTTTCAATAATTATTGAAAGCTGACACAATAAACAACAAGCTGACACAATAAACAACATCCTAGAGCCATAAGGGCATGTCCTTTTCACCCCAGGATCTAGAACTGCTGTTAATTAGTTAAACTTCTAGATTCCTCAAGTTGACACAATGTATCAACCATAAAAAGTACATATGTAGCATTTTAACAAGATATGTTTAACTGAACAAATAAATTTTGATGTATGTATGGAAAATAATGAAGGAATATATTTTTAAAATTTGGCAGTAGGATTTCATGGTAGTCTAACAGTTGTGTTATGCATTTATTAATATCTTATATAAGAATGATGATGATATTATCATGTATATAAGTTGCTTTATAATAATAATGTCTTTATTTTTATCATTTCAAGGTTTTTTAAAGTCCATGAAAAGCCTCCTTACCAATCGCCTATATGTTTTGTATGCGATTTTCACATTGATAAATTTCAGCAGTATCATTGGTTCATTTACTTATATCTTCAAATACATAGAACAACAGTTTGGTCAGACAGCATCTCAGGCTAATGTTCTTTTGGGTAAGACATCTTTCTTCCATGCTTCCTTCATAAATGAGGTATAATGAGTAATTGTAGCCCAAATGACAGTTTATTGTATGATTTTTTTTATTTCAGCAAGTAATTTCCATATACTCTCTCAAACTTTATTGAATTTGTCAATCATTATTCTGGCCTTGAAGTTGCAACTTACATTACAGTAATTTCTAAAGGAAAAATTACATGCTAAATGCAACATTCATACTCTGTATTTATATAATTAGATTTCATAGTTTAATGTGACAAAACAAAATAAATTGTTTTAAATGTGGTCAATATAATTTTGTAATTCATGGACTTTGAAATAAAATATGGGCATTGATGTTTTTAAAGTAGAAATTATTTTAAATACACCATCAAAATATGCATGATTATAAACAAATGTCATATTTTTGAATTTTATATATCTTTTTATAATGTCATATTGAAATCTGCTTATTGAAGAAACCTTTTTATATCACTTTTCCTGGAACTCCATTATTGTGGAAACACTGTACATATTTGATGCATTAAATATGTATCAAGTTTTATATAACTAGATCATAAGTATATAAGGAAAGAGTAAGTTGAGGATGATTTTCCTAATGTTCTGCTCCAGGATTTTGTGATTCTCTTGTTTTTCTTTTAAAGAGAAAAAAAATAAACATAACAGTGAAATCGAGTCTTAAAACAGGTTAGTAGGACAGTTACAACAGTTGATGCATTGTGTATTGTTGTCTTTGTAGTGTTATTCAGAATAGAAGATATAGCCATGATATCTTGTCCATATACTATTAACACAAAACTTTCCTTTTAATGAACTAAAAGAAACTAGTTGTATAACCATCTTATCAGGGGAAAGGAAGAAAGGGAAAAGGGAAAGAATACATGTATATACTCGGTGATTCTCTAGTTGAATTTAAGATAAAGTTTCATTGTAGAGATTAAATTTTGACTTCCTGTAACCAAGCCAGAACTTTCTGTTAGAGGAGTCGATTTCTTTAATAGCTTTATAAAGTTATAAATAACTTTAATAACTTTATTACTGAAATAAAAATTTATAAAAGGGATCAAACATTTTAAATAGCATATATAGATCTATTTACTTAATTGTATGAATGAACATGGAATAGATATTAACACAGATATTCAACCCTTTATATGAGAAGGTTTAGTCATCCACTGCACAAGCTGGAATGGAGTTTTGAGTGCTGACACTGTTCATTTTGAAAATGTAAAGAATTTTAGATAATAGGAACAAGTGTCTTAAACAGGACGTTTGTGTATTTTTATTGTCTTTCAGGATAAAAAGACCCTCATGGAAATCATCTGTTCAAATACAAATGTCATCTATTCATTGTCTTTGTAATTAAAGAAACTAAACCCTCGTTTTTGGAAGGAAGAAATTATTTTTGTCTCTCTCACACTGATTCTCTTTTCCATTTGAACCTGTCGCCCTTCTGCTTAAGAAGAGACATGAGTGGATGAATTGTGTTGATATATACTGTGTTACATGTAATATACAGTGTTTATATGTAAAAGCATATTAGAACAACTATATTTACATAATTAGTACTTTTCTCTTTTTATTTTTAGGACTGGTAGCCCTACCTCATATTGGAGCTGGATTGTTTCTAGGAGGATACCTCATTAGAAAACTGAAATTAACCATAGTTGGAATTGTCAGATTTTCATTATTTACTTCATGCATTGGCTTCATTGGATATGTACTAAATTTTGCTCTAATGTGTGAAAACAAATCAGTTGCTGGCTTAACATTGACTCATGATGGGTTTGTATAAAAATTTATCATTTCCACAATGAGTTAACTATCCAATGAAAAGACTCTTGGAAAAACACGGCTTTTATTAAACTTCTTTTTAGTTGAGAGAATTTCTATCTACAAATTCTCAAAATTTACACTTCTTGCAATCTAAAGCATTTATTTTTATTTCTTCTTTAGAGGCACTTGTAACAGTAATAACTGTCATTTTTGGGGGTACTTACAATGAATGATGGATATTTTTATCTCCATTTTATAGATGTGGCAAGTAAGGTTTGAAAAGATGCACAGATTATATACTTAACTATGTTTGAATGTAATCTCACCAATTTTCATTCAAATCTGATGGAAGAAGGCTTTTGAGTTGAGAAGTTTTATTCATATTCATTGATCTCTAGTCTTAACCACTAAGCTCAAATAGCTCATGTTTGTGACATAAACAATATTCTTCAAAAGTGATTGAACAAACTTTATCTACAGTCTACTTTAGTCTTCATCTACAGTCTACTTTATCTACAACTATTTGTACATGAGAACACTTGTAGACACTTTACTAAGTTCTTACTTTTTCAAAGACAATACTGTTGCTTCCATATGTTTCTGTAGTAAATATAATTGCTAAATATCCTGTACAAAATGTCATATTATACTTTGAAAACCTTTGTTTATTCAGTACTATCTCATAGTATCAAATATTCCTAGTATTTCAGTCCACTCCAAATCAATGGCCAGACTCCCACACAAACTGACATCTCCTGAATACAGTTAATTACTTAAAATTTACAAAGGTTCATATTCAACCAAATACCCTGGGATCACAGTTCAGTAACCATGTACATTAGCGTTACTTACTGTTAAACTCCTGGTTTTTGAACTTCAGGCTCTCTAAGGTGTCAATTTTAACTTTACAGTCTTCCCACATTTGGAGGCATGCCCAGCTAATCCTGATTTATTTTCCTGTTTCTTCTTATTCCTGACAGTCTTTGAGTATTCCCATCCACTGTCAATGCTTTAGTAAATCATAACACAGCATACCAGAACTTTGAATTTCATATAACCTTAAAAATCATGCAGCTCAATCTTTTTGTATTCCTTTCTTTATTACTGGCAACCTAGGTAAATTGTACTACTCTCTTTTCTTTTTTCTTCCCTCATCTCTCTTCTGTTTCTCTGCTTCTTCCTCTTCTCTATTTTATATCCATTTTTCATATATTTCCAGACTTAATCCGGTTACATCTCATACAAATGTACCATTATCTTACTGCAACTCAGACTGTAATTGTGATGAAAGTCAATGGGAACCAGTCTGTGGGGAAAATGGAGTAACTTACCTGTCACCTTGTCTAGCAGGATGCACTTCTAGAAGTGGCACTGGAAAGTTTGCTGTAAGTATTAGTGTTACTTTCACTCGTATCCATAATCCAGATCATAGGTTACATTTAATAATCACTTATCAAATCTTCCTATAAGTAATGTCCCCATTAAAATGATACAAGAAAAAGATTCGAGCATTTTCTGTGATTGTGATAGCTGTGATGTTGTGTACACAAAGCTCCATTTAAAAATCCTGCTTTGAGAAGCAATCAAGTTTTTGTTATTTTAATTCTAATTTGAGTTTACCCCATTATTTTTCCTTGCGACTGTAACAATATGACCTTTTGGAAAATTTATGTACTTAAAGTCCCTATGAATCATTTCATTTGACTGAAGAAGTATATGATTTTGATAGATTTGGAATTAATTTGCCCTCCATAAGTCATGAGAAAGTCCTGAGTCAGCATTATCTGCCTATTAGAACAATGATGTATATACAAACCTGTATATAAAAAAATCCATATAAATTTATATCTATATATTTATATTTTATCTATATAAATCTATATAAATAATTTTGAATATGAATTCTGATGAGTTAAATTCTAGTCTCACCACCCTTTTGCCTTTCCAAGAAATAATTGTTTCCTCCTACTTAATAGCTTAATTCTTGTCATCTGTTACTTATTTTCTTAGGTAGGCATTTCTGATAGGATAATTTTGTATCTTCACATATTGATAACATACACAATGAGATGCTATTTTTTTCTTTAATTAAAACATTGTTTTCCCTGTAAACTGTGGGTTCTCCTTTTCTGATGTATCCTATACCATCAGTCTACTCAAAACTTACAAGGTTGGATGTACATATTCTGGACCCAATCTCATTCTGCCATTAGAAATACAACCAGCTCTGAGCTTTGCTTTCTGCGACACCCTTTTATGTTTGATTTTCAAACAGTTTTCATCTTTCCTTTGTCTATGATCCTAAAATTGGTACTTTGGAAAGGTATGGTCAACTTTGAAGAATAAAGTATTCAACATTCTATGAAGGTGGGGCAGAACTTTAATAAACTTCACAAATATGGCTTAAGGAATGTCCTTAAAAGCTCATCTCTGAGATTCATGGCTATCGTGCTTTCTTTGAAAGTGCCGCTTAATTTATGTTCCTACTTTTCCCACTGTTGAAAGCCTGACTGAGATGTGATAGTAAATACTCAAGAGAGTTCTGTCTACTACAGGTATATCATCTTCTGAATACTTTGGGGATCCTTAAAAGGTCTTCTAAGAAATTCGTATTAATAAGCTGTCTATTATTATGTAAGGTTCTTTGTTCTGAAGTTTCATTTCGTTGGCCAATATGCTTATTCAGTGCTTTGTGAAAGCACCTAAGTATGAATTCTTCTTCATCTCCTATTCCTGTAACTGGATTTTAGTTGTAATAGATTCAAACTTCCTTAAAACATTGCTTTAGCTTAGAATGAGAATAGAATTTATTAAAGGGATATGTTTATGTGAACTACTCGCTTGATTAAATCTCTAAAATCAGGTGTTCTTAAATTTTAACTTTTTGTGCTTTGTTGGTCTGAGAATTTTGTTGTGTTGATATGTTTCAATAGTATTGATACCATCTATTTATTACCTTCAAGTACAGTTTTGGGTGTTATATTTGCTTCCCAGAATAGAACTACAGCACCCTTAACTGGCTTCATTTTCCCTGAGAAGCAACCCATTATGATGGGCAGTTCTATTTGTAGATGTTCATCCCTTTCAAAGAATTCTGTTGCTGCCTTCTCTGGTTAATTCCCCCCCCCAAATCTTTCTCCAACACTCAGTTGAAATTGTTAAAGATAAGTATAATATAGAAGTAGAGAGAGGGTAGAAGAGAAATATCAAAAAGAACTTACATGATTTAGAAAATTATATAGAGTTTCAAACACTACATTTTTCAATTTTTTCTTAGTTTTAAATTAGAAATGAGTATAATATTAAAAGTGAATTATATGCTCTTGTCTGGAAAGCAAGACATTAAACTATTTTACCTTTCAGCTGTTAAGCATGATATATTTAGTAATTTTTAAAAACTAAATATTTTAGTTAGACAATGCTTACTTAGATATAATGAAATATATAGTTCTACAGGGATTTTGAAATTTGTTATATAATATTTCCAAAACTTTTTTTTTTAAAGGTGTTTTATAACTGTAGCTGTCTCGAAGTATCTGGTTTCCCCAGCACAAATTATTCAGCCCGTATTGGTGAATGTCCAAGAGATGATGGTTGTAAACGTTACTATTACATTTATATAAGTGTGCAAATTGTGTTTGCTTTTATCTCAGCATTGGGAAGCACTGCACATACGATAATAAGAATGAGGTGGGTATGAGTTTTTAAAGCATTTTCATGTTATATTAGACCATAAACCTATTTAGTGATGCACATAATTTTTATACAATAGTTGGGACCTAAATGCATGTCTTTGTATCTTTTAATTAATAATACATTTGCTTAGGATTTTTGTCATGTTTAGCCATAATTAATACAATTTTGTCTCTTGTTCTTAAATTATGGAATATAGACTCCACAGTTTCTCCTCTTCCTAGGAATTTTAAAATACAGACTGACATTGCCCCATTGTCAGAAATCTCTATGAATTCAAAAGAACTTTTTATTGTGAGTTTCTTTGAATGCTGATAAGCTTGTTAGGGAGAATCATTCATTAATTTCACTGAAAGAAAACGTTTGTGTGTCAGATTTAATTTTAAATTTCAGTCAGTAATAATCTTAAGCTTTCCATCCACCAAAAGAATGGCTTTTGACTTACTGTCTCATAATAATGTAGGCAAAAGAAAAAAATGAAAAGCATTCAGTTTTTATTCCTTTTTATTTTAAAGAGAATATTAAAAAAGAACAAGAGCAAAAGACCAACATAGACAAAAACAAAATGAAGCAAGAACAATAACAATAATATAGGGTTTCAGAATAACATGATAGGAATTAACAGGGGCTGTTATGTTACATATTGTTATCTTCAACGAAGTTTGTCAGACTACCAGATGTAAGAGTGAAAAATTGATCAAAACATTAGCGAGGACAAAAACTAAAAACAAACAAGCAAAAACATTAGAAACAATACAGAGTTTCACTAGACAAGATGGTAGGAATTCACCAATGGCTGTTATATTGCATATTGTTGTCTTCAGATTAGTTGTTCAGATTACCAGATATAGGCATGCAAAAG